ACTTTATGAATTTAATTATGCTTTGTTTCATAATAATGTGTCATCTCAGTGTAATGTTGTTCATAGAGTAGTTGATTTTGGTTTTTGGCATAGACGGTTAGGCCACCCTTCCCGTGATACATTCCTCAAAGTCTGTAAAGATTGTAATGTTGGTTAGTCGTTGGTTAATGATGAAATTTGCACTGCTTGCCAAGCTGGGAAGTCTCACTCTTTACCTTTTTATGTTTCTCAAACATTATATAGTGAATAATTTCAGTTGGTTTATGTCGACCTATGGGGACCACCTCATGTGGTCTCAAATGGATATCGATATTATATATCCTTTGTCGATGTTTATTCGCGGTTTACGTGGTTGTATTTGTTAAAGGAGAAATATCAAGCCTTGTAAGCATTTTGCTTATTTCAACGCATGGTTCGTGTTTAATTTGGCGGAGAGTTTTAAACGGTTCAAAGTGATTGGAGTGAGTTTCGTCCATATACCAAGCTCTTCAAGAGGACGGGATACGACACCAACTCACGTGTCCTCACATGTCTCAACATAATGGTGTTGTTGAACGAAAACACCGACATATCATTAATATGGCTCTTTCGTTGCTTGCACAGGCTTCATTACCCTTGAAATATTGGTCTTATGTCGTAACCACTGTAGTGTACCGTATTAATCAGTTACCTATGAAGGTGCTTATCGGATCATCATTATTTAACAAATTGTTTGGTCGTCGCCCCAAGTATCATCATTTACGTTTGTTTGGTTGTAGGTGTTTTTCTTACCTTTGTTCATTTCAATCTCACAAATTTGATTATCGCTCACATGCTCGTACTTTCCTTGGCTATAGTGTATAACATGAGGGTTATATTTATCTTGCACTTGGAGGTCGAATCTATATTTCTCGACATGTGCAGTTTGATGAGCATGTTTTCCTATTTGTAGGTCAAACTGCTGCCACTCATCATTCTCCTATAAATGGTTTCCAACTGTCTGCAACCATTGATGTAGTGTATAGAATCAATAGGGTACTACGTAATCAAGCAGTCACAACATGTCTAACATCGAGCCATAGTGAAACTGGGTTATCTCCTTCTCGTACTAGTAGCTCCCATAAAGTGTATGCTCCGATGTCTTCTAATAGAGTTGCGTTTGGTGATAATATGGACATATCCATGAATCACACAGTCCCTCCCCGAAAAACTGACATTTTTGGTGGTTTGCTTGTTCCTGTTCACTCCACTGTTGTAGTAGATTCAGCTCCTTAAGTGACTTCCCTCAAATTTTCTGATATGACTGCTACAACTGTTCTTCTTGGTAGCTCTTCTGGTCCTTCTTCTTCAAATACTCATTCTATGGTCACGAGAAGCAAGGCTAGGATCTTTAAACCCAAATCCTTCTCGGTTCAAGTTGTTATTGATGGTGAAGAACATATCTTTATTAAACAAGTTTTGTTATTTCTTGTGTGGAAAGAGGTTGTCATGGCTGAATACAATGCTCTAATTGATAAGGGAATATGGTAGTTGGTGTCGCTAACTCCTGGTTGAATGAAAATCGGGTATAAGTGGTTATTTCGGATCAAGAAAAATGTCGATAGGTCTGTTCCAAGGTATAAGGCTCGTTTAGTGGCATTCTCTCAAGTTTTGGAACAATACTTTAATGATACGTTCAACCCAGTTATCAAACCCTCTACGATAAAGGTTATATTGTCCTTAGTTGTCATGATTGGGTGGAAATTAAGACAGGTTGACGTGAATAATGCATTCCTCAATGGGGACTTACGTTAGGAGATGTTCATAGTGTAGCCTCCCGAGTTTGAACAGCTTGTTGCTGATAGCTCGCGACTTGTTTGCAAAGTTGAAAATGCTTTGTATGGACTTAAGCAAGCACCACGAAGTTGGTATGCGAGGTTATGTACGTTTCTTGGTCAAATTGGGTTTCATGGGACACAAGCTTATGCCTCCTTGTTTATTCTTTGCTTAGGGAAATCTTTCACCTATATTCATAATTACGGGGTAAGATGAGATTGAAGTTGAAAGCGTTTATTGCAATTAAGTCAAGAATTCTCTCTAAAAGATTTAGGGGACTTGAACTATTTTCTGAGGCTTAAAGTTTAACGGACTACTCATTCTCTCATTTTATGAAAAAATAAGTTTATTCTTGAGTTATTATAATGAACTATCATGTGTGATGCTCATATAGTTACAACATCGATGGTCGTTTCTCCGAAGCTTAGCAAAGATGGAGGAAGCCCATTACAAGATGTTCAATTATATAGGAGCGTTGTTGGAGCTCTTCTATATTTAAATCACACGTAACCTGACATTGCATATAGTGTCAACCGTGTCGGTCAATACATGCATAAGCATTGCACTCAACCCTAGGTGGCTGTGAAATGCATCTTGTGTTACACTTGATTATGGTTTAGTATTTCGCAAGGCTGGATTGGGTTTACACTTGGAAGCTTTTACAGATGTGATTGGGCAAGCAATTTCGATGATCGTCATTCGATATCCGGATTATGTGTCTTTCTTGGAGGTAATCCCATGTCTTGGGGTTCCAAGCGACAACGATCGGTCTCTCAGTCAACTACTGAGGTTAAATATCGTGTGTTAGTTGATGTTGTGGTCGACGTTGTTTGGATTCAAGCCTTGTTGACAGATATGGGGATTTTTTCCTCAAGCACTTCCGTCATTTAGAGTGATAATACGAGTATGATAACGATGAGTGCCAATCCTGTTCTGTATTCTCAGTCGAAACATGTTGAATTAGACTTCATTTCATTTGGGAGAAGGTTGCTGCTGATAGTGTTTGTGTCAATTATATTCTCGTTCGATATCAAAAAGCCGATGGATTCACAAAGCCTTTGTCTCGGGCTTATTTTTCTCTGTTTCGCTGCAATCCCAATGTCTATTGTGAATTTATGGAGTCCATAGACAGTAGAGAGAATGTTAATTATTACAAGTAAAAATAAAGGAAGTTTTGTTTCTAAAATAAAAGAAATTAAAAATAAAGGAAATTTTGTTTCTAAAATAAAAGAAAATAAAAATTAAACGAGAGAAATTTAAATTGATAATCAAATAATAAAAATTAGCCTAAGGCTTTAACTTTGCCTCAAATTCTACTGATCATCGAATAAGATTTTAGCTTCAAATTCATGCCAGTTACACTCTACACGGCCCAACCCCTGTAACTTGTTTTTCTCTCAAATGAATCGACAATCTAAACCAATCTTTTATTATCATTCCTTATATGAACTAATCGCGACAATCGTTACTAGCACCAGCTCAGTTAAAAAACTTTGGAAAAACCCGACTCGGATTATAGTGTCTCGCTAAGAATCAAATATGATCTCAATTTCTCTTAGCGGTCTACCACTAAGCGTGTTCACAGGAAATCGAATGTGCTACAAGTTGATATTTCCTCCCAATTATTAATCGAAATCACAATCAATCTAACGTGTACTTTTTGAGAAAAAAATTATTATAAAGGGATGGTCGATTATCGATCCTTGATTCCATAAAACTGAGAATGTAATCTGAAGGGTATTAAGTGTTTGTCAATTCTCATGATCGTAATTGAGTCGTCGCTTCAGCCTTTGGCTTCTAAGAAAATTAGCTAAGTATAATACAAATCATACATGACATTTCTAAAGAAAAATAAATAAAAGTTTGAAAAGTAAAAAGTAAGAAACTTTTATAAATGAAGAAAAACATGAACAAAGAAGTTCAAGAGAAAATAAGATGTTTGAGATATGTTTTAAACATACCCAAGGGGTATTTATAGCTTCTAAAAACCTAAAAATGTTGAAGATAACTCTAAGAAATTACACGAGCTAATCTAAGAAAATTGTTTGAATTAAATCCAAAAAATAATTCCTAATTTCGAATTTAAATTTGCGAATGAGTCTTCTGTCTTCACGAAAATTCAGACTAGACCTTCTAGAAGTTGCCAACTAGATGTCACGTCAGTTGAGTCATACCCCAAGCCATGCTCACTAGTATAGCCTTGACTCTAGAAAAATAAAAATTGCATAAGATCGTCCTTTTTAACATAGTTTCTAAAATCCAATGTTCTGCATAGAAAATAAGAGAAAACGCCCAAATCAACAATATAAACCTACGAATCAGGAGTAATTAACAACAAAATAATAACTATTTAAATCACTCATCGATAGTCAGTCCAAAGGGCAATATAAAAAATGACTAAAATCAGAGTTGAACGTGGAAATTAATGGTTTGAGGTTTGAACTTAAGAATTTGTGTCAGTTAGGTCTTTAAAAGCAACACAAGTCTTATTAATGAATAGTCTAGAATGAATACAATGTAGTATTTGTTCAAAACTTTTTTTTAGTTCAAACTCATAGTCTCTAGAGAGAATAAAATTTTCTTTTACCATTGATATGATTCAATGGCTTGTTCCACGGAAGTTGAAACTTCGACCAAAAAGTTGACCTTAATGTATTGCTACTATGGTTTCCAATTCAACATTGATTGAAAAAAAAAAATCTAGAGACGTTTTTCTTTGAGACAAAATGCAGCCATGATTTTTTCACCATCCTCATCATCACCATCTTTTGATAATGGTGGAGATCGATGGAGGTGGGCTGGTGGGGTTAAGATTTATGTCTCGTCAATTTCGACCACTCTATTTTAGCCTTTTTCTCAACAGCCATTGTGGTCGTAACTGCACTGGTCCTTTTGCTGGAGATTTAATTTGGGACAAATTCCCCTACAATGAAGGGTCTTTCTGAACAATCAGAGGGCCCTGCTGGCAACTTTGCACCAGCTCAATGACCGGCATGTTGGCCTTGTGAAATTATGCTCCAATGCTCCTCACATTATGCACAAAATATGGGGGCTTCAAGTATGGTATGGAGAGAAAAATATACAAATATTTCTTTTTGTACAAGGAATGTCCTAAACCAATCTGAAATGAGTGGCACATTGTAAAAACAATCCTTTTACAGCTGGTTTTGTTGATCAGAAAACCAGAATAGAATAGAAGCAGCCAATGAACTTTAAGCCAAAGCTAGCACTTTAGGGTGATAAAGTATATTTTGACTCTTACCCGTATCTCAATTATATGAGAGAGCCCCAACTCACACAAATTGGTATGGAGGAGAGAAAAAGCAAAGCTTTAGTGTCCCTTTCTATACAAAAGCATGTCTTTATTCTTTGGTTCACTTTGTCAGAGTCCTCATCCATCCCTTCCTTCTCATCACTTTCACACCATCTATCTTGCTGCCGCCCATGTGGCATCCTTTGGCTTTGCTGGACCTCTTCCACCTTACGAGCTGGAACAAGTGGCCAATCCGCTTCCGCCACCTAATCGAGGCTCGTGGTTTCTCATGCTCGATCACGCTCTTATTGGTCTCCTTGGTTACCGGCTCCATGCCCTTGGTCAAGGTTGGGTTCCATGACAAGTTGCATTGCTCAAGAGAGACCTTAGAAACCGTACCTTTTTCCCATGAACCAACACCATTCTCTTCAAACTTGATTGAGATGAAGGAATCTGCAAAAGTAAAACTTGGACACTGAACAAAGGGTTTCAAAAGAAGATTACTACAACTAAAAAGTACTAAAGAAAAATAAAAAGCAAAGGAAAAAGTAACATCTTTTATCCTTTTTTAATGGTAACGTGTTCGTATTTTAGTACATCAACCATATCTGTAGCTTGTCAGCTATATACTAACAGTGAGTGCAAAACCAAAGCAATGTCCCAGGAAAAAAAAAAAAAGAGGAAAAAATGTAAAAGGAAAGCCATCTTTACCAAAAAAAATTATGCATATATACATATAGATTATCTCCAGATTTGGATGCTTTTTAAATTGCCTTTGAAAAAAATCATAGGATTTCCTAGGAATTATTAATGGCATTCATTGTTCCCAATCAAACATATATATCTTCCAATTAGCATCAAACACAGGCATACATACCCAGAGAAGATAATAGGAAAAAGATTCTTCATTTCCAGTTTTACCAGATTTTGACCACACTTTTGTCACTACACAAACAATGAGTTTAAGATACACATGCATGCATGTGATTCATATCTTTTTTTTTCCTTTTGGCTGATGCAAATTCAAGAACACATAAAAGAAAATAAATGGGAATTACCTTCTTGACTGGTTGAAGCATCCGAATGTTCAGATTTGCAATGCTTGAACTCTAGACGATTGAGCAGTGAACCTAAAGCAAAGATCTTGGGGAGGTTAATGGGAGGTTTCTTCAATGAAACACCTTGAATAAATCTACGGATGCCTCTGGTTGATGATGATGAAGAGCGTTGGGCTTGCTTTGAAGCTAAGATAAGAAGCCTCTCGTTCAAGCACAAAGCACAAATCCCCATAAAAACTTCTTTAGGATGGAAATAACACCTTGAATTGTCTTCTCTAGACCCATTCATCATAGTATGGGGTTTCTACTGGTAAAAGATAAAGAGAGGAAATATGAACACTCTTTGAAGAGGAACAAAACTGGAAAGAGTTTGAGTTGTTGTCGGATAGCTTATATCGTGGAGAAAGTTGAAGTTTAGAGCATCATGAGATTGGTCCCCAGTAACCCATCAGTTTGAACAGTATAATATATGTATATTCCCCCAATTTGTTGGTGAGAATCTAGTAGATCAACTTGGGAAGGTAAATCCAAAGGTGAAATGGATCAAATATCGAGACTCCCAATTGATTTGAGGCCATTTAAAGGCACAAAATGTAGGGAATTGGTGTAACCCAAGATATGAGAATGGGAAAAGCAATTTGTCTTGAATCTTATCAAATTTAATGGTTTTCTTTTATATTTGACAAGATCACATACTTATAATTTTATTATTAAATTTTTAGTCGGAAAAGATATTCAAACCTCTTAGTTTTGATGGAAAATTCATTTACTCGTATGGTTTGAAAATGGTCACTTACTCTTCTAATAATTAAAAATTAAAATGATAGATTTAACTTTTGTGAATTACTTTATTTATTTTAATAAAAATGTCACAATTAATTTTTTTTAAATTAAACTTTAATATTGCATTTTCCCCGTTAGCTTGAGCATTTAATGAGCATTTTTAGTATACCATTGTTGTTAGTGTGTTACAGGATTAGTTAACTTAGCGTTTGAAATTTATTTTCTTACGCAGGTCAGCAGAAGAGTAGTGAGGAGCCTTTTGAACAATTGAAATCCAGACCGGAAGCAACAGAGCACGTCTCGAGTCCTCCATTAGTGGGCATGTGTATTTGTAGACTCATTTTTGTATATTCGAGTCGTAACTTATTATTTTTAACAATGATCTGTATATTTCGAAGTATTTCATTTTGGGAGCTCCTGTTGTAATTTATTTTATAAAATGGTGGCTGATTTATTCACTATGAGTATTTTAAATTAGTCGTTTTATGGTAAGAAATTAAAGAAAATTTGTGGTTAAATATTCTGGTGGTTATGTGTGACATTCAAATCGGTCGACTATGTGTCGTACTGGTTTAGAGTGTTATATGGGTCGGGTTTTTGCCTTTTGGCCGCCCCAACCCCAACCCGAAAACATATATGTCAAACTTGATTCCGCCCCACCCCGAGGAATTTTAAGTTTTTACCACTCTGAACCCGTCCCGATTTTTACACTAAAACTCCGATCCCGACCCGAATATATTAATATTTTAAAATAATTAAAATAATATAATTTATAATAATATATTTATAATTATTTATTATATTTAAACAGTTTAATTAATATTTTTTATAATATTTTTTATACTTTTTAATAAGTAAATAATATATTTTAATAATATAAAAATAAAAAAATCTTAAAATATTAATTATACTATATATATAACTGGGTTGGGTCGGATCGATATTTTCACCTTAAACCCACTCCCGTACTGCCCCAAAATTGTTTACTACATAACCCGCCCCAAGTCCCGAAAATTAAAAAAAAAATCACCCCTATCAGGTCAGATCGGGTCGGAACTCATCGGATTCGAGTATTTCGATCATCCCTAATTATTTCTGTAAATAAATTTTAATATAAGATTGTGTTGTAATCCGCGTTCTATGTCACTCTAGGGATCAATGTAGCCTTCGAAATTTGACAATAACGTTCTGGTCAAGTTTAAAGTTTACAATATAAGTTGCATATAATTTTGGATGATTCGAGTACATTTTGGACTCTCGAATTCACAAAATATCCAAAATATACTTTTCTACTTCATGATATCGATGCATACAAATAGATACTGATACCTGCAAATTTTGAAGCATAGGTACTGGTACCTTGTAGGGTATCAATATTCGTGGTAAAGTATAAATACTTTAGGTTGAAAATATGATAATTTGATCCCTTTGGTGCTTGAGTCTTGCTTGCATTGCTCCCATACTCTTATGTTATAATCAAAAAGGTCCCTATTACCTAATTAAGGGTTTAAAATGTATTATAAATGTCTGTTTGATTTTTCTGAATGGTCTTATTTGGATTTAATTATTTATTGTGATATTAAATTAATTGTTTAAAGTAATGAAATGTCTTTTCATTTAATAGGAACCTATTTTTGAGTTTTCACTCAAGACCCCGAAAATGTCCGAGACAACTCTACCGAAAAACATCTCGAATACTAAAAACTTTTTTAATCAATGAACGGTTACAAAGGGAAAATATTGAACATAAATGATTGTAAAAATGACCAATGATACCAAATATTATAGTAAAACAACAATACAGTTTATGGAAAGAAAAATTTTAGGATGGATGTCACTTGCATACACCATTAATTTTATGGAGTGAAATTTTTAAATAGCCACTAAACTTTGTTAAAATAATCTTTTTGGATATTAAACTTTAAAAAGTTATATAATGGACATTAAACTTTAATATTTTTTTTATATAAAATGGATACTTCATCTTTAAGGGGACGTTTGATTCGCGGAAAAGATCATTACCAAGGGGAATGATCTTTTCTGGAATTGTATTTTCATGTTTGGTTCACAGAAAAGATTATTATCAGGTAATAACTTATTACCAATAGTAACATTTTTGGCTTAAAATGGTGGGAATGTCATTACCTAAATTCTTAGGTAATGAACAATTCCCACCACTTTTGGATACAAATACCCCTAAAATAATAAATTTTTTCATATGGATCCTTTTTAATTTTTGTTCTTCATGTTTTACTCAAAATTATAATTTTAATAACAATAATATACAAAGAGTTTAATTTAATAAAATATTAATAAATTTGAGTAGTTAAAATTATTTTACATTTTTAATATTTAATATATTAATCATTTTATAAATTTATGAGTGAAAATATTATTATTGTAAAAATGTAATTATTTAAAATAATATTTAATTTTGAGTTATTAAAAAATAGATCTTATACATTAAAAAATAATATATTTGTCCACTTGAGATCACAATATTATTTTTCATGTTATATTATATTTTATATAAATAAATATGATAGTTATGAAAATTATTTAAAAATATAAGTTTGATATACTAATTATATTAATTATATGTTAAATGTATTTTTCTCTAAACTTAGATAGTGTAATAATTAAAATATTTTTATAAAGTTTCATTCAAATATTTATAATCTAATATTAAAGTTTTACTTTTTAAAAAAATTATACATCACAATGATAATTTGGTAAAATATGCATCCAAGTAATCTTATATTCCTCCAACCAAATATTATGATCTTACATTCCTCCTAAGCAAACCTAATAGGATAATACAACATTCTTATAGTAATGTTACATTTCAGTAATCTTATTCCCAAAGTTAATCTTATGTTCCTTGAAACAAACTTACCTTAATTGTCATTAAAAGGGTGAAGTGACATATTAAATTAATAAAAAATCTCATTTGACCCCTCAATTATAAATAAAATTTCATTTTTAATATTTCAATATTTTAAAATAATAATTCTAAAAAGTTAGTTATTTTAAAAATTTATAGAAATTCATAATTTATTTTTAAAATTATAACTTCATGAATTTGTAGTTTATCAAATTTAATCATAATTAAATGTTTTTTATTTAATTATGATTAAATTTGTAAAATTTATAATTTTCTAAAATCCAACGATTTTCAGTTATAGACGAAGTCTATTTTTTTGTTAAGAAATGTGATTTAATTATTTAAATTTTCTTGAATAAGTTTAAGTATAATTCTAAAAATATATTTATAATTTTAAAAATAAATTGTAAAATTCAACATGTTTTTTTTTTAAAAAAAATTGAAATTATTACTTAAAAATATTAAAAAATATATCAAATAAAATTTTAGTGACAATTGAGTGATCAAATAAGATATTCTTTTTATTAATTTAGAATATCATATTATCTAATTAAGGATCAATACTTATATTTTTAACAAAATGTAAGGTTCAATGTTTATTTTATAACTTTTAAAAAGTTGAATGATTAAAAAATCATTTTATTATAGTTTAATGATCATAAAATATATTTTATATTATTTTATCTGTACGTATAAGTGTATAGAGTTCGTTGTAAACTTATAAAAGAAATCATTAAAAGAGTAGTAAAAATAGAAAAGGAAAGGAAAACCAAATAAACAAGCAAACGGAAGCGCATTGCACTGCCACTATAAATGTCTTCGGTTTGTCTGCAAACTAAAACAATAAGAAGCTCAAAGGCAAAGAAATGAAGTGTTTTTATAGCTATGAAGGCTCTATCATTTTTCCAATTCTCTTGGTATCTTCTCTTTGTTACTTCATTCCGATTCTCGTTGCATCTTTTGGTGAAGTTGGTACGTTTTAATTATTATTATTATTATTATCATTTCATCGTAAGACGTATTGATCAATATGAATTTTCTTATTTTTTTTATTACGTTTGAATTCAAAGATGAATCGAGAGACGTTTTGAAGTGTTCAAGTTTCCATATAACTTAGATTTTTTTTGATAATCTAATTTTACACTCCCTAAATTTTAAACATAACTTGTTAAAATCGTACCCTTAACATAAAATCATGCGCATGTCCCGGTTAAATCCTGTTTCTTCCCTTATTTTTATTACTTGCATTATCATCTAGGCATCTAATCGACATTTTCTTTATGCATGTTTCCTACTATTTAAGCATATTTGCCTGTCGTAATTTGAAGGCAAGAATGTGCATGACTATCCAAATAAACCCGATGCGTTGTTGCCATTGCATTTTGTGAATCGTTATTAAGTAGTTTGTCTGTAACTTTTTGAAATTTGATAAATCATTTATAATCTTACAGATAATATGGTGACTTGTGATGGATTTTTCCCTTAAATTTGTTCTATGTTGTGCATTATCATTTAATTCATTGGTGGCAAGTAAAATTACATACCATTAATGCATCAAATATTCCTCCTCGATTATTTTCACAAAATCCCATTGATGATTCTTTACCAAAAATAAATTCATTTGACTAGATTGTAAAGACATTGAAAACCTTAATCACAACAAATAATTACTTGAGAAATAGCAGGCTTTTAATTGATTTTACAGCACAATTGGGGGCCAAATTAAGGAAAATCAGTACAATCATACTTTCTCTTTTTTGGTTTGGGCAGAGAATGAAACTCCATTTACTTACACACAAGGGAGTGGCAATGGGCCAAAGGAATGGGGCAAATTAGACCCAGACTGGAAACTTTGCAACACTGGGAAACAACAATCTCCCATAGATCTTCTCGCCGAACAACCACAAGTTCTTCCTAGTCTGGGCAAGTTAAAAAGGGACTATAAACCTGCTCCGGCTCGAGTCAAGAACCGAGGACACGACATCACGGTAAAATTACGCTTAAATCCGACGATCGTTGTCATCTTCAATGCCAATGATTCTATTGCAATGTATATCAGGTAACGTGGAAAGGAGATGCAGGGAAAATTATTATAAACGGCACTGTTTATAAACTGCGTCATTGCCACTGGCATTCACCGTCCGAGCACACATTCAATGGAACTAGGTATATCTATATATATATATATATATAGACTCATTTGATACTCGTATGTATTTTTCTTGTAACATTGTTTTGTTAAACAGGTATCAGATGGAGCTCCACATAATTCATATAAATGCTTGTGAAGAGATAGCTGTTACTGCTATTGCTTACAAATATGGCCGACCTGATCCCTTCCTCGCTAGGGTATGCTTCCCTAACAGCTTAATTGAATGCTTTTCTTTATGAACCATGCTTGTACTTACCCCCCAGATTAATCAAAAAAGAATTGTTACATTCTCATAGACGAATACGAGAAATTTAGCTTTTTCTTAATCGCTTTGTTCCTGTAGCTTCTCCACCACATAAAAGCAGTGGAAGTGGGAGATGAAGAGAAAGATTTGGGGATTGTGAATCCGGGAGATATCAAGTTTGGTAGCAGAAAGTATTTCAGATACATCGGTTCACTTACAATTCCTCCATGCACCGAGGGTGTTGTTTGGACAATTGTCAACAAGGTATTTCTCTGTAACAAATTTCATAACGTTATATAAACAACAAGCCTCGTATTATTATGTTGATACCGAAACATTAAATAATTTCCTACTGTTTCTTGTACTAGGTGAGGACAGTTTCTAGGGATCAGCTAAGGGCTTTGAGGGGTGTTGTTCACGATGTAAGTGTTTATTAATTTTTCTTCTTTAAATTAGTCTGAGAGAATACAATGCAGTATTTATTCGAAAGATCCTCAGTTACTGAGGTCGTTTGGTTTATCGTGTTTATGAAATCCTAATCTTAAATTAAAAGGAAAATGAGTGCATTTTTTTTTTCAAATCCCAACCAATGGAAATCAATGAATGTAACCGTGTTTGGTTGAATCCAACTAAAAGGATTAATGTTCCAACACTTTCGAGTGGCTTCTTCTAACTAATCTAGTTTGTTTGTTTTTTTAAGGGATTTGAAGCAAATGCAAGACCAACTCAATCATTGGAGGGGAGACCAGTTTTGTTCTACACTCCAACAATGAATACTGGCTCTTCTTAGACTTAAGTATATATATATATATATAATAAAAGATTGGAAGAGGAATTACAATCATATGCTTATATATATGTCGAGTTGTTAATGTACGTTGTGTTCAATTTATGTTTCAATTGCTAAAAAAATCTGTGTAACGTGCGTTTCTTTAACACCATCAATAAAGATTTTTAATAATTAAAATTTTAAAAATATTATATGTATTTTTTATTTAAAAGTTTATATTAAAAATTATCTTTTTGGGTTAACTACACAGATGATCATTTATGTTTGTTTTTTGTCCACTTTTAGCCACTGATTTCAAAAAATACGAGATATTGTCACTTTCGTTTTTATTTAATTAAGATGTGGTTACCTTAATGGTTAAAGGAATCATTATTGTTCTTAGAGATCACGGGTTCAAGCACCAGCGATTGCAGCAAGGTGATTGAGCATTCATTGTCAAATGGTTGAGAGCATTTAAAACAAATAATAATTTGTAATCACTTTAGCTTAATAAAAAAAACAATTAACAGAATATGTGACGTGATAGTTGGTATAATCACACATTTGGTCTCTGTTGTTTATATATTCTTTCAATTTAATCATACTTTTAAATAAATTTTAACATAAAATATATATATTTTTAAATCAAAATAAAAATAAAATATTTTTAAATCAAAATAAAAATAAAATATTTTTAAATTAAATTAGTAATAAAATATATTTAATAAGTTAATATAAAAAATATTTTTTAGTTAATATATATAAAATATTATGAACTTAAATATTTATACACTAAGATACAAAATATATACATCATGTTGTCTACTTTAGACTAAGCAATGGTTTTGGCTTAATGGTTGGATACATGTTTAGTTTCCTAAGTTACCAAGGTTTGAATCTTTTTTGCCCAATTTGTTTTCTTTTAATCAGAGGGTCACACATGTCACTCTTTGATTGGTAGAAATAAATATATTAAATTAAAATAAAGTTAGTCCTCCAACTTAATGGTGACACATGGTATCATTCGATTGACAGATTAAATTTATTTTAATTTATTAAAAGTAGAACTAAATTGAGATAATATATAAATAATAGGGACCAAACGTGTGATTATATCCAAATATTTAATTGTTGTTAACGGTAGTTAATTCGGGATGATCACATCTTAATTAAATAAAAATAAAAATGATCATATCTTATACTTTTTGAAATCAGTGACCAAAAGTAATGAAAATATAAACATAAATGATCATCCGTGTAGTTAATCCTATCTTTATATATATATATAGAATCATGTATTGTATAATTCATGGTCAGAGTTCGGAGCTCCCCTCTCAATAATATCTTCCCGAGATTCAAGGATAAATTCTTATTCTCTCCTTTGGAAACACTTGTCGATGGCTAAAAATATTAAAATGTCATGTTCTGTCAATTTTCATGATTTAGCATTTTACTCCATACAATTAATGTATTTGATGTTTTAGTCCTTCAATTGTTAATTAAAGCATGTTTGTGTGGCTAAATGTTTGATTAACTTTATTTTTCAGTTAGTAAATATTACACCCCCATCCCGATTTAGCTTAAGTCAAATTAAGGGTGTCTACACACATCTTGTGGTTGATCTTGGAATCACAAATCTTCAGCCCCTGCTAACCAACATAACTAAGTGGAGCATGTCTAGAAAATTCATTGAAGCTATAATTAAAATAACAACAAAAATGGAGTTGGGAGCTAACCTTGAAACGGACGGTGGAAAGAAAAGATAGGAGTAAATGCCTTATGATTTTGATATATTTTGGGCAGCTATATAAGAATACGTGGTTAGTTGAAAACTCCATATCAACCATCCGTTGTTTCCTAGGAATTATAAAAGGTTGTTGGTGCAGAAGAATAGGCAAAAAGGAATCAGAGGCCCCTGAACTTTAAAAAAGAACTAATATGGCCTCTATCGTTTTTTTTATCAATGTGACCCTCTAACTTGAAAAGAAGAATTCAATGTAGCCATTTGACCAATATTTTCATTCGTTGACCAACGTCTCCGTTACTTGTGCTGATGTGGCACTTCAAGCATCCTAACATCATACTTTTAGAGATCAATTTGTCCCTTCAACTCATAAAATAATTCAATGGGACCATTTGACTCTGTTTAATGCTATTACAAATGGGAAAATTACACCTTTAATTTCTCAACTATCTTCTTTCTCCCATGTCAATCACTAAACTTTAAAAGTTTTCAATTTTAATCCCTCAAATTGCTCCTATTTTAATCATCATGACTTATTTTATTAATATTTATGTATGATGTGGCATTCATTATTCATATTTTATTAATATATGATTTAAATAATACTAATTAAATTAAAATTTCAAAATTGTGATTAAATCAAAAAATATTCACAAAATAAAAATTTTAAATAAAAATTTCAAAATTATAAACTCTAAAAAAGGACTAACTTTCTCTTCTCCGTTGCTGGTGAGCGGCGGTTGACGCAACGGAGTCTAGCCGGGAATTGGGTTTTTCCAAAAAATGATAAAGAACAAGATGAACTTTTCATAGAAAAGTTTAAACCCCATTTGATTCAAAATTTTTATGGTAATTAATTTAATGATGATTTTGAAATTTAATTTAATTAATATTATTTTAATCATATATTAATAAAATAAGAATAATGAATGCCACATCATATATAAATATTAATAAAATAAGCCATGATGATTAAAATAGGAGCAATTCAAGGGATTAGAATTGAAAACTTTTAAAGTTTGATTAAAATAGGATAAAGAAGATAGTTGAGTGATGAATAGTATAATTTTCTCATTTATAGCAGCATTAAACAAAGTCAAAGGGTCACATTGAGTTATTTTGTGAGTTGGAGGGCTAAATTGATCGCTAAAAATATGATGTTGGGCTGCTTGACATGCCAAGACATCACAAAGTAACAGAGACGTTAGTCAACGACGGAAAACGTTGGTCAAAAGGCTACATTGAATTCTTTTTTCAAGTTGGAGGGTCACATTGATCCAAAAAAAATTATAGGGGCTACATTGGGTTTTTTTTTTAAGTTCAGAGGCCCCTGATGCCTTTTTGCCATAAGAATAAGTTGTTTTCCATTTTGATTTTAGGGGTTAAATTTCAAGGCTTCAATCCTCTTGAATTTGATATATGCCTATTGTTGTGAAAACGGACTAATTAACTCAGGATATCAACAAGCGGTAAAGCAAATAAAGAGCACAAGATTTAACGAGGTTTGGTAATGTGCCTACGTCCTCGAGAACGATGAGCGGTTGTTCTCTTTATTATTCACAATAATCTAAAATTAGGTTACAATTACAGTATATATAAGAGTAACCCCAGTACAATTACAAAAATACCTCGTATCGTACCACAGGGCTTCTCCCCCGCACCCCCAACCCACTTAATCCTAGCCCACAAACAGTAACAAAACTTTTCCAATGGACAAATGTTGATCGCTACATTCGCTTCACTCACTCCGCTCCAACATTTGTCCTCCAACTAGTATATGAGCCATACCTAACACTATTGTTGTGTCGTTGCTTAACCTTGTCCTTCTAATTTAGAGGAAATTTCATTGAAATAACTATAGCCAGACACACGGATAAACTTCTATAAGTTTAGGGATGAAGAACTTATAAAACTCTAGGGACGAAAACAAATTATAAATATAAAATACAGAAAAAAATATGCTAATTTAAAAGTTTCAAGAGTTGATTGTCACAACCACTCCCCTCGATCTATCCCAAGTCTCAAAGTCTGAACCTAATTAGTATTCTGAAATATAAGTGTGATCCTAGCTGTTCGGTTAGGTCATAGAAACATTGAATTTTGGTGGACTTGAAGACCAAGCAACTCAAAGGAGAGAATATGCAGCTTAATAACATACACAGTTTTTAATGAAGGCAAAGTTAGGCGTAAGAATTATTAACCTTTTCCCCACAACTTTCGGACTTGTTAGATGTGGTAGCACCGTGAAATGCAAATTGGCCTAACTGCTTCGATTTTCTTTCCATTAGAGTAATTTCTCTATCTGTACATCTTATTAGTCAAAATACATTTCTTCAAACATACAAATCTTTGTTTAATTCAATAGAGTTTGGGTTTTGACGAGGGAAACCTCAATTAGTATTAGCATAGTCCAACTTAAAATTTAATAATAAAAATAATGTTTTTTATGTTCCCTAAAGAAGGCCAAGACTGAATTACTTGTGTGTTACTGACCCGCAGTTTGCTTTTGTAGTTACTTGAATCAAACGCTACCAAAGCCTATCTTATTGGGCACATAAAGAGGTAAAACTTTTGATTGGAAATCAATCCTACACACCCCCATGTGCTTTTATGTTTTTCTGTATACATTAATGGAAAACAGATTTTGCTTTCAATTTATTTAACACATTTAACTAATCCATGCTATCTTTAGGTTTTATTTTTTTTTATTAAAAATAGTTTTTGAAAAATAATTTATGTGATATGAATTATATTTTTTGAAGAAAAAAAATTAGAAATTATTTTTCAATATTTGGATATCTGTGTGATTTTTTTTTTGCTTTTTGATATATATTTTTGAATTTATCTATTGTAAATATCAAATATAATAAATAATGGTATTTATTCTAATAAATTTAATAGAATTATTTTAAAAAAAATTAAAATAATTTAATAAATAGTATTTGTGATAAAAATATTACTATTAAATTATTTACATTGATATAAGAGTTCTTTTTTCCTCAAACTTTTCCGTTGAAAGTTTGAAATACTTATTTACGTGACACAATGAAAGATGAAATATTTAATTTTAAAATGGATTTTTATCATTGTGACCAAATTAAAATTTAAATATGAATCATTGTGAGGTTTGTTTTTTAGTTTTTAAAAGAAGAAACATAAATAATTATAGTAAAAAAAATTGTTAAAGGAAAGACGAAGAATAAACCATTTGATTCACCCGGGTTATCAATGTCGAATAGTTAAAATTTAACTGTTTTTATTAATGTGTCACGTCAATAAACTACCGAGAGTTAACGGTTTAGTGTCCTACCTATAATGAATCGATAATATAAGTGA